TAGGTCTTTCTGTGGTTTTATTGAGAATCACCCCCCAAAAGGATCATGTGGAAGTAAATCACAAAAAGAAATCCTTTGCAAATGAGGCCAATCTTCTGGATTGATAATCTTATGTTTATCTCAAGAGGGAGGGATTAGTAAATACAAACTAATTTCTGCCTTGATGCCACAGGGGGGGGGTTCCAGGTTTTATCTAAGCTTCCCTCTCGTGATGCAGCATTTGGTTAAGTGTTTATATTGGTCTTTGGCTTCCCCCAGAACCCCTTGCTACGTGGTTGTTGTATACTATACAATCATAATCACAGCAGATCCTCTGGTGAGTTTCAGCGGCCGTTAATCTCCAGGGAGAAGACGGTCCATCCTTCCCCCAAGGAGACTCGTGGCCTCAAACCACGTCTCTTCAGGTACAGGGTCATTTCTTGCCGTTAGAAGCCCAGAGCTTTAAAAAGAGATCAATGTGTTAGTGCATAGTGTCCTGCTGCTTACATAAAGGGACACACGTCCCTTGAAGGGTCAAAAGCACAAGCTTCTCTGTGGAGAAAACACGGATCCTTTGTTCCCCTTCAGGCCTTGGAAAGCAGTGAGGAGGGACTGTGAATTTTTTCATATAAACAGGTGTGTGACTTTGAGAAGGAACTTCTTCCCCTAGGGAATGTTTCTCAGGGCGGGAGAGAAGGCGCTCCCAATTCTACAGATTGCAAGACAGCCGAGAACAGAAAAAGAACCCGGTTCAGGCCAAGAGACAGATTTTATTGAGGAGAAAACAGAGATCCGGAGTCACTTAACGTTACAGTGGAGCCTGACGTGGTCCTACAAGGAAACTGGGAGCTAGGATGTTCCGCACCCCTTGGGAGCAAGTCTAAGGTGGTGTGGATAGTCAATCCTGGGAAAGGGAGGTTAAACAGTTTCTCAGGCTCCAACAGAGGAAAAGAGAGCTGCAGCGGGCGCTTTTAATCATGACTTGAGCCATTTTCAGGAAAAGGAGGGAGTGTGCTGGCAAAAAAATGGGGGTGAGGGTGGGGCCATTGAGATTGTCTTCTCTAACTTCTTCCCGCTGGAATAGCACCAAG